AGTATGAGAAATATAGTTATTTCATGTCCGAGACGAAAACTCATGACAAAATAATATCACATGGATTGTCGGAGTAAAAACAAAATACAAATGAAGACTCTACCAAATTACATGGGTAATTTGTGTAATTTAATCTACAAATTATTATTGAGGTATTGGAAATTGTTTAGTTAAAAGTTAAAACTACTTATGTTTTTTAATAAATGTGTTTATTAGTTTATACAGTGATAAAACGAAGTTTTATTAAAAGTGTTTGGATTAATTTATGCATCACCAAAACCTAATAAGTTGATAAGTTGTTTTTTTTTAGTGTTTGACAATTTTATTTATACTTATAAAATACCAAAAATAACATTTTATATATTATTGTTTATAAAAAAAATTAATGTAGCTTATCGTTTGTCATTTATAATACCATTATTATACCAGTGAACATTTGGACAATTATATAGCTAGCTAGCTTCCATTTAATATCAAGTTATAATGACGTCTTATCATGTATTTGATAAATAATCAAGTACAATAGTACATATATATCTATTATCTAAATCATGTTTTTAGCTAAACAATAAAATAATTTTTTTATAATCGTCTTTTTGGAATGCGTGCAGATTTTATATCGGTGAGGTTCCAATAAGGGAGATATTAAAAAGCGATGAAATGGGAAGCGATTTCCCTTCAAAACCTATGGCTTTATACGAATGAATTATTATAAAATAAACTAGATTATGACCCACGTATAAACGTGGGGGACATATAAAAAAAATAAATATAAATGTAAAATTAATCCTAATAACTAATTAATGTTTTAAAAAAAATTATTAATTTATAAGGATAGATGTTTTATTTGTAAAATTATAATGATTAGTTAAAATTAATATATACATTGAAATATCTGATCGATGGTATGCACGTGTGATATTTGATATAACATGAATGTACAATAGTTAATTTAAACTAATCATGCAAAATGTTTTGAAGATACGAACGTTGTTTAAAAATTGTAATCTTAACCATATATATGTGCTAATATTGATTCTTGTAATTGTGATTTACACGGTATAGACAACATCAACATCAATTTTTTTTTGATAATTTTGCTAAGTTTTGTTTTTTCATTTAATAGTACTAATTATATGTGCTACTTTGCTTCTAAAACCTGAAAGAAAATTCTAAGTAAAATAATGACTATAAAAAATAATTACTTAAAATTTACATAAAGAGACATTCAAATGATAACTAATTCCAATACTTGAAAAGGCTTCAACATCAATACATCATCAGCTAAATTGTCGGGTAGAAACTATAAAAAAAAAATAGTCAAAATGTTGAAAAAAAAAACTAAAAATTAACATTTTTAGCATTCTTTAAAAGATAAGATACTATATATTAGATAACAATAGTATATAGTGAGTACCTTTATTGCTAACTTTAAGTTCACCGAACTCCCTTTCGCTACACATACACACTCTTCTTTGAGCTTTTTTTTGTTCATAGACGGTAATCGAATGATCGTTTATTGTTTATATAATCTCATTATAATGAAATATGGATGCAAAACATATGTTTCTTCCATCGTGCTAATTAAATCTACAAATTTGATTCGTATAGAAAAGAATGAAAGAAGCATCCCGGTTTTCAGATATTGTTATTTACCATGTTTAATAAACATTTGAATATAAGCACATTAATATATTCTGGTTAGGGAGGATAGAGTCATAGTAAGAATGATACCTCCAAGATACCACTCCAGCTTGAGTGGGCTAGGAGGAGTGGGTTGTTTATGTAGCTTCACTAACCCGCTTCATCCTTTCTCTCTCTCTCTCTCTCTCTCTCTCTCTCTCTCTCTCTCTCTCTCTCTCTCCTCTTGTACCATGTTTCTTAAAACTTATACCATAGTTTTTTTGTATTTTTTAAAATTGAGTGGATTGAAAAGGATAAGGTTTCTATGTGTTGTGGGTTGGAAAAGATGGAAGAAAAGGGAGAGGGAAAAGTTGATATGGTAGCGGGTTCATGAATGATGGTTTCCATATTGATAGGTAATCGTAAAAGCTAGATAATAGAATGAGTAATTTTGTTTCAGAGACATGTTTGTGAGGCATGGAACAGAATATAATAAATATTTAATACGATTTTATGGTATACATTGCAATTTAAATTATAAAGATAATCTTTCACATATCTTTGTTTAGTTATTATTATGTAATTTAAAAAGGTTTATATTGCAACTTTTATACTAATGTCTTATCTTATTGCGGAGAAAAGCTAGATACTCATAATGTTCCCAACCCTATTTTCAAGAGTGTAGGGTACAACTATTTATCCTTGAGAAAGTAAAGTCAATAAGAAGATTCAAACCAGTTAAACGAAATAATAAGGTTGTGCAAGGTTCTTATTATACTTCTCAACATGACCAGACAACGCAAGTACTTGCATAGCGTCACGTTCATAACTAAAACGTATTCCAAAAACACAAAATGAAAATTAGCAATCTGAGTTCTATGTATCTCTCATTTGAAAAAAACAGAATAATATGTAATATAAATTAGAATACAGTTTTTCACAAAAAAAAAACCTACTAAGTAACCAAAAGTAATCAATCATAAACATTTTCCAATCAGGTTTATCGATGTAATCTATTTACATGGTATATTAAAACTTTGTATTTTCTTTGCTATTGAGTCTAAAAAATGTTTTATAATATTAAAAAGGGATCGGTGAATAACTCCTTTCTGAAAGCCCAATTTGTGTTTTTATAAAAAGAGTTTTTTTACAATAAATCAAAACAAATATCACTAGTGGGTTTTGCTGAGTTGTAGGATATGTGGATCACTCATTGGTATAAGGGTTTGAATTTCATCTCTAAATTCAAGAAGAGATCAAATGGGTAAAACATTATTGACATTGACTCAGATATATCTTCCATTCACGATTTCGTAAGCCACAAACAAAAATCATTGACTAAACACATACACAAAAAACGTAAAAATAAAAAAATAAAATTGACATATACAAATTTACTACCTAGTGGACATATCTTCCAAATCGAAACAATGGATGAGAGGTAGTTGTGCTATTGTGTCCATCTTTTTGCTCTCAGATACATATAACTTAAAAAATCAAAATCAACAATATAGATCATAAGAAGAAAAATCGAAGCAGATTTAGAAAACGTAACCATTATCGATCTAAACTTAAATCGAAAGGTTTTATAGATTGGAACTTCATAGTTGAAACATAATAAAATAAACATAATGTAAAACTTAACCAAAATCGATCTAACCTACGATCAAATTAAAGTAGAATCCAAATAAAATTTATCTCTATATCATTCCTAATTCTTCAATGATGATCGAACACAAGATTAATCCATATAGATCGAAACCTATAAGTACTCTATTTCTTTTTTCCCCTATTTTGTTCTCCAGTACAAAACTTAGGTTAGATAGATTATGTAAAGAAATGAGGAGAAAATGTAGGGATATTGGTAATAAAGGGTGCGGTGGTGTATTTTTTTCATTTTATTTTTAGTGAGATTTAATTGTTATTAATAGAATTCCTAATTTAATTCATTTTATTTTTGGTGAGATTTAATTGTCATCAATAGAATTCATAATTTAATTAATTTTTACTTTTGATGAGATTTAATTGTTATTAATAAACTTCCTAATATAAAACATAATATACGTTTTATAAATTTGGTGGATAAAATTAAAATGATTGATAAAGATGATGTCAGCAAATAATCTAATGGTGGAAAATATAAGATTAAAATGCAATCAATAGCTTTGATTTCTTCATTTTAGAATTAAAGGTTCTCTTTTAATAATATTTAGAGATGCTAGCTATAAATACGTAGTTTTGATTAGAGATAATTTTTTGAAAAAAAAAAAATACAATTTCCTAACAAAGATTTTTACGTTTCCTTATTCCTATAAAATAGAAATCGATTCTCCTTTTTTTTTTCGAATGATTACATAATAATCGCTGTGAAAACAATCGACAATAACAAAAAAAGATTTCATATAATCGCAATTTCGACTAAACCAAAACACGATTTCACAGGAATCGCAATTTGCATAAAAAGAAGTTTCAATTCAATTAACTGGTTTCGTGCAAACATTGTTGTGCTAGCTCATCCTGTTCCATGATCGATTTCGTTCAATGATAGCCTGGTTGTGAAACAAAAACGTTTTGTCATACGATCACAAAAAAAGAATTCAAATAAATTGGAATTCAAAGCAATCAGAGTTCACAGAAAAACCAAAGAAGGTAAATTCACATATCAGTTTAGATATTGATTTCCAGTCAAAAAAGTTTTAAGGTTTATGCATAGTCCATCAAAGAATCTCAATTAGATTGTAAGATATGATCACCAATGTTTTGAGTTAGAATACACCAGATTCCTTAGCTGCAAATCATATAAATAATCAGTTAAATACCCATCTCCATTATGACAAAAGAAATAAAAAATAATGGTTTTATACCTAAAAGTGATGAATCGTAGGCTTGACTATTTAGGTATTATGGAAAAATTCATAGTAGTTGTCACCATTCTGTTTCTGTTTTCATAGTTTCTGTATTGTTCAAGTTTTGTTTATCTGTAACTTTCTCTTGTTACATTGTGCTTTCGTTAGTGCTAGCTGCTTGCTTTTAGCATTTTTTTTTTCATTTTATATTTGACCATTTAAATGTATCTGTACTATTCCTATTCCTACTAATGAATTAAATCAATGGAAAAAAAAAAACAAGGAGAAGTCGATGATAGTTTCTGTGTAATATCACATTTGATGACAACTTTATTATTATTTTTTTTAAACAATTAGAAGGTCCTATAAATTAAACATACAAACATTTTTTTTAACTAATCATTGATACATTATATGCACATGTATCCACAAATTATTTGGATCCATATATTAACTTAAAAAAAATAATAAAATTGGTTATGTGTGATGAATAACACATTGTTTTATTTATATGCTTTGCAACAAGAAAGAATGGAGAAGACCATGATGTTTGAAACCGAAGCAACTGATCTGGCTATAGAACCGTATATAAATAAAAATGTCGACACAAATGATTTGATGGAAGAAACATATGAATCTGAAGCACGTAACGATTTCGATGTGAACATTGAATTTGACGAAGATGAAGATAATGTTGAAAGGATACTGGGAAAGGTTTTCGATACGCCCGACGAAGCATATACATTTTATAACGATTATTCCTTTTTACATGGTTTTGGTATACGTAAAGATGATACGGTTAAAAGCACAAGAACAAATGAGCCTTATCGGAAGTATTATGTATGTTGCAAAGAAGGTTTCAAACGGGTAGACAACAATGATTCAAGTGGAAATGAGAAAAAAAACGTCGTAGAGATGTTAAAACTAGATGTCAAGCAAAGCTTCGAATTACAAGACAGGAGGATGGAAAATGGTTGGTGGACTTATTTAATGACACACACAATCATGAATTGACCATGACACCAACGAAGGTAATCAAACATCGATCTCATAGTAATTCCACCGTTCAATAGAAGGTAAATTCATGATTGTGTGTGTATTTTGTGAAAAAACGAAAATATGAGGGTATTTTGTGAAAAAACGAAAGTACGACGGTATTTTGTGAAAAAACGGAAGTATGAGGGTATTTTTGGGTAAAACTGAAAGTATGTGACCATAATGGGCCAAAACTGAAAATATGTGTCAAGACGAAATTATGATGTTATTGTGAGTGAAAAACGAAAATATGATGCTATTGTGGGTGAAAAACAAAATTATGATGCTATTATGGGTTAAAAACGAAATTATGGCGCTATTGTGGGGTAAAAACGAAAATATGATAAGTACATTGGTATTTTGAATAAATAAGAAAAGTAGGTTGCTATTTCAAGACAATCCACCAAAAACAATACTATTTTGTATACACTTTCTGTCAACATATAAATTTCGTCTAAAAACTATAAAAATTATGTCCTAACTAATACATGATTACATCACTTAACACACTCTTCAACTTCTTTGGTGTCTACGTGCAACCCAAGATCTTTCAATGGTAATGATCTGCATAAAATAAATTGGTATAAAGAATAAAGAATGGTTGTACAAAAGCTAAAATATGATCAACATTCCAAACCCTTAGTGTAATTTTCATTTTTTTTTTTATCCATTCAACCTAATACGAAAGCCCAAAAGGAAACACTTGATAAAGGTACTAACATTTATGGATTTCAAAAAAAAAATGGTTAAAGAATACTGACATATATCTAACCGTGTAAATGATCTTCAAGTGATCCCAAAGTCAGAAACTCATAAACTTGGAGCACAATAACCTATCAAATTTACAAGAATTGGGTGATGTAAGAGGGTAATTATAAGAACCTCCACCAAAAATAGCAACAACAAACCATTCAACATTTAGGCATGCTATAATAAATAACAACAAAACATTCAATGCCAAAAACTTTTCTCTTATGATTTGATGTGAAGCAACTTTTTTGGTGTTGACCAAAAGCTGACCTGCACTCACATTACAAACATATAAATTAAAAATTGAATCATTAATTAATTATTTGTTAAATTGTTAGGAAAAAAACAAGTGCTCACATGATAACAAAAATGAGGGACCGAAGGCTTGTGGTTTAAATTCGCTAGGAGAATAATAAAGCAGATTAAGACTATAAGTTTTTTGGTATGAAGGTGTACATGATAAATAATAAATTCATTCAAAGGGTAGACGGCACTTTAAAACAAAAAAGGAAGGGCTAATTGTAGCTTCAAGTATACAATTGGGTCAAAAGAACTTATTAATCCTGTTCTTTGTGTCTGATAACAAATGATAATTGAACACCTGTTGGACATAAAAAAAAAAAAAAAAATTGTGAAAAACACATGGTATGTAATCACAAACCAGATACCGGATTCTATGAGTGAAATCAACACAACTCAAAATCCAAGAAGGAATTGTATAAACCCAACATCTATACCCTTGTTGATCACTGGTCGCTTGGCTACTAAAATTGATATTTATGTGAACAAAACTTCACTCAAGCATTTAAACAAACACTTAGTGTACATTATCAACAAATTTATATTTGAAAAGAATAAAAGACAGAAATTACCAAAGAATTCACCTGGTATTTCACAAATTTTAGTGTAAGGAAATTACTATAAGTCTAGTTTAATTTTACCTAAGGCAAATTCAGAACAAAAGGCACACCAAGAACAAACTGAAGAAGATGAAATAAAGAAGCCTCATCCTGTGACCTGATTAGGCAGACAAAAAAAACCAAAGAAGATATAAGAAGATACCTCGATTATAAATAAGATTCAAAAATTCGTGCATAAACAAAATCAACGAAAATCGAATACAATCACCAAATCAAGGAAAATCGAAAATCAGTGCATAGGACTTACGAGAACTGAAGCCAAAATCACGCAATCTCTGGTGTAAATCGATAGTGAATCAGAAAAAATCAAACGATGGAACCTTCAATGGTGAATCAACAAAAATTAAACGCTTGAACCTCAGTGTTATCAGCAAGGATTCGACACTTCTCAAGTTTTAAGGAATCAGATTGGAACAAAAGTTAGATTCACTTTTCCCATATATATATATATATATATATATATATATATATATATATATATATATATATATATATATATATATATATATTCAGATTCATTTGAGACCATTCTAATTTTGTAAGACCGTGAAACCAAATCTAAAAATAATTTTAAAATGCAAAATAAATGAAAAATCCAAAAAAAAAAAATTAAATATTATTTTCGGAACTTGAACTAACTAAAAAATAAAAATAAAAATCCTGTTTTTTTTTTTTTTAAATACGTGAAATATTCTAATAGAATATTACAATAACATATTCTAAAAAATAATTTTAAAATGCAAAATAAATGGAAAAATCTAAAAATTCTTTTTTTAAATATTATTTTCGGAATCTAAATTAAATAAAAAAAATTAAAAAAATTAATACGTGAAATATTCTAATAGAATATTACACTTACATATTCTAAAAAATAATTTTAAAATGAAAAATAAATGGAAAAATCCAAAAATTCTTTTTTTAAATGTTATTTTCGGAACCTGAATTAACTAAAAAAAAATGCATCTCACGGTCTCACAAAATTAGACCGTCTCACATGATCCTAACCCTATATATATATATATATATATATATATATATATATATATATATATATATATATATATATATATATATATATATATATATATATATATATATATATATATATATATAAAAGTTTAGAACCAAAAAATATTAAGAACCATAAAAACCATCTCTTTTATTTATAAGACTCTAAACTTTTGATTTTTTATTTTTATTTTGTTTGTTGAACAAAAAGCAAGGACATAAAGATCATTTTACCATCAAATACATTGTTAACATATTATAATCCATTAAACATTTTTTTTCCTACAAGTCTAAATCTAAATTTTTTTGAACACTTTCAGAATCTCTTAGGAACACCATGTTTCACTTTCGCTGACCACCACCACCACCGCTGGCCGCCATCACTGCTGAATATCACTACCTCCCCCGTCGTTGTCTCATACCAACAGTAAACGACCACCTCCGCCTCCCGTCTCCGGTGGCGTGATTCTGACGAGTTTCTTTTGTGCTCTTTGCTCAGATATGTTTAGATCTAAGATTTCAGAGGTTTTGCTAGTCTAGATTTAGTTAGATGTACAACCTCCACCTTCAGATCTGTAATATTATTCTTCAAATTTGTCATCATCGCCTAACCACTGCCTCTTTCCACTATCGTCACCCTGACCGCTGGTTGCTACTAGCCATTCTTATTTATTAGAACTACAAAAAACACCACAAACTGTATTTTGCTGGTGATAGATCAACGAAATTCTCTTTTAGATCTAAGATCTACAACTCCAGATCTAGTTCTCCGCCATTATCTACCAAGAAATTTGAATCCTAAACTATTGTTTGCTCCAGATCTGTTACTCATCTCCTTCAGATATGTGTTTACTGTGTTTTTTTGGAAAAGACCAAACTACAACAGCTTCTATTTTAGAGAGAGGTGATATTTTAATTATTTCTTTTAATTTGTGAGTGGTATTATCGTGGATACTAGGCAACTTACAGGTTCATACATGTTTGATTTCTATTATTACAACTAGAACCTAATCTAGTACAATATTACAAGCATCGTTAGTTAATTAATTAAGAACATGGCATGCTAACTTAACTATTTTTGTTTATATACGTGTCTAACATTTTATTTATTTTTTTACTTTTGATTCATATATTTTTCTTTTAGTTTTATTATTTTCTTGTTTCAATTTAACTATTTTAAATCTGAAAATTTTAAACTATTAATTATATAAATTTTGAGTTTGATATTCTAGGAATATAATATTGCTCGGTCTTTGATGTACGTGATAATAAATACTTTTATTTTGATCTTTTTTTTTCTTTTGTTAACGTGTGAATTTATAGTTTAAATATTTAATTTGTTGTTTGTTTTTGTTAATTTTAATTTTAAATGCTATTAAGTTTTGAATTCAAGTTTGTTTTCTTATTTATTATAATATTTGTATAAAATATTAAGTTATGAATCCTTATTTGTTTTCTTACTTTTTATAATATTTGCATCAAACTTTTATTAATGGTTTATGTTTTATGATTGTTATGATGTAATTGAATTTAGAATGTGTGTTACTATGTTAGAGTTTTTTCAAATAACGATATTTTTTTTTTAAGTTGTAAATTATGGTGTTTTAATATTTCAACTATTATTTAGTTATGTTAAATTAAGTTTTAACAGTGAATGAATTAATTAATATGTTTTTAAGTTATAAATACTATAAATTAGAGTCATGAACTCTTGTAATAAAATGTAAATAAGAATTCTAAAAATGCTTTATTAAAGTGTGAATTTTTGTGTTCCACACAAGGTGTTTATGAAATGCTTCAACAAAATCAAATACGTTTATAGTCTTTAAACATTATGAATGAAACTCCTAAATTGCTTTTATTAAATGGTGAATTAAAGTTTTGAATGTACATTTTTGTGTATTAAACTTTAAATTTATTATATTAAACTTTGAATTTTGTATATTAATTGTGACTTGACTGTATTAAGCTATTAATTCATTGTATTAAATTGTAAATTGATTGTATTAAACGGTGAATTGATGATATTAAGTTGTGAATTGATTGTACTAAATTATGAATTGATTGTATTAAATTGTGAAATGTATGTATTAAGTTGTGAATCGACTGTATTAAACTGTGATTTTTTTTTTATAAATTTTGTGCTTGCTTCTGAAATATGATAAGAAAGAATCATTAGACATATATATTATTATTTTTTTCTAATTTTAAATAAATTATATGAAATTTAATTTGTCAATGTTATGTAAATTAAACTTTGAAAGAAACACCAGCCTCCAGATCTTAAAATATAAATGTAAGTTTTAAGTTAAGAATATGACATTTCAGTGTATCAGATTGTTAATTTATTATATAGTTGTGAATTTTATGGATTAAACAGTAGTTGATTGTATTAAGTTGTGAATAGATTGTTAAAATATAAATTCTTTATGAATGAATTTCTATATTAATCTTCTTGTAAATATATTTTTTTGTGTTCTATAAGTACGTAAGAATGCATTAGTTTTTATAATTGTTTTGTATTAAATTCAAAATGAGTGAATTAATTGGTTTACTAAACTATAAATGTAATATTTAACCTCTCATTGCATTAAACTTTGATATAGTGTCTAAAATATTGAATTAAACTTTGAATTAGTGTGTGGAATATTGTATTAAACTGTGAATTCTACTTTTTTTTATCTAGATTTGAATTTTATATTTGTAAATGAGCTGTAAATGTAATGTATTAAACTATGAATATGTGTTTTTTATGTATTAATTTGTTAATATATAAGTCATTAAGTTGTGAATGCGTATTTTTTTGATGCACTAAGTTGTGAATTTGTGTTTAAAATATTAAATTAAGTTGTGAGTTAGTGTCTGAAATGTTGAATTAAACTGTGAATTTTGATTTTTTATGCATATATGATTTTAGTGGGAAGGATGTTGACGGTGTTGGTAGCGATGGTCGTTGGTCGATATGGTTGATGGTAGTGGACGTTGGTGGTGGTGGTAGAGTAAGGACATGTTCTATTTCTCACTCATCTTCACCTTCTTCGCTGATTCTTCAATGATTTTAGATAACGTATCCTCATTTATTATTCATGAATATGTTTTTTTTTTCTTTTGATGTTTGCTTTTAAAATATGAGATAATTTATTTATGTATTAAACTGTGAATGAGCTTTTTTATACACTAAAATATGATATTATACTTGTAAATGAGTTGTGAATTTATTGTACTAAACTGTGAATTTTATGTATTAAGTTATAAATTTTATTCACAACTTAATATAATAATTTCACAATTTAATACACAAATATGCCTCCAGATATGAACGTAAAAATGTAGACTTTAAGTTGAGAATATAGTTGTGAATATATGACTTATGTGTATTAAATTGTAAATTTATTGTATTAAATTGTGAGTTTTATGTATTAAAATGTGAATTGATTAAATTAAGTTGTGATTTGACTGTAATAAACTATGATTTTTTATGAATTTTTTGTTTGATTCTAAAATATGAGAAGAAAGAATCATTATACACATATATGTTTGGTGTATCTATATCTGGTGATGGTGTTTACATAAAAAAATTGTGCAAAAAAAATATGCACACAAGGTGCTTCATGAAATACCTCAATGAAATTAGATAAGTTATTAAGTTGTAAATGTAGTTGTGAATGTTACCAGTGAAGCTTTTTTAGAGTTAAATAATGAATAAATTGTTAATATAACGTCTCTTTGTATATTTGTTCAGATCTTCTGTTTTATGGTGATTATGGATATGTCGTATATGGTGAACACAATGTGTTTGATGAAATGCTTCAACGAAATTCGGTAAGTTATTAAGATGTGAATATGTGTTTTTTATATATTAATTTGTGAATATATAAGTTATTAAACTGTGATTATATATTTTCTTTATTCAATAAATTGTGAGTTAGTGTCTGGAATATTAAATTAAGTTGTGAATTGATGTCTTAAATATTGCTTAATACAACAACATATGGGATTATACTTGTAAATGAGCTATAAATATATTGTATTAAACTGTGATTTTTGTGTATTAAGTTGTAAATTTTATTCACAACTTAATATAATAAATTCATAATTTAATACGTAGAAATGTCTGCATATATGAAGGTATAAATGTAATTTTTAAGTTGATAATATTGATGTGAATAAATAATTTTACGTATTAAACTGTGAATTAACTATATTAAGTTGTGAATTTATTGTACTATGCTGCAAGTTTGTTATGAATTTTGTGTTTGCTTCTGAAATATGAGAAGAATAATCATTATACACATATATGTTTTTTTTCTAAATTTAAATACATTATACAAAAACTTAAATTTAGAATATTGTGTAAATTAAACTTTGAAAAAAAAAACACTAACCTTCATATCTGAATGTATAAATGTAAGTTTTAAGTTAAGAATATTACATTTCATTGTATTAAATTGTTAATTTAATATATTAAGCATTGTTTTTTTATTAAACGGTAATTGATTATATTAACTTGTGAACTAATATCTGAAAGTGTAAATGTAATTTTTAAGTTAAGAATATGACATTTCATTGTATTAAATTGTTAATTTAATATATTAAGCTCTGAATATTATGTATTAAACAGAAATTGATTATATTAACTTGTGAACTGACTACAACTTAGTATGATTTTTTTTTCTAAACTTTGTGTTAAAATATAAATGATTTATGAATGAACTTCAGTATTAATGTTCGAATATATTTATTTTTTGTGTTGTATAACTACGTAAGAATACATTAGTTTTTTTAATTGTTTTATATTAAATTCAATATGAGTGAATTAATAGGTTTATTAAATTATGAATGTAGTATTTACCCTCTCATTGCATGACTTTATATGCAGATCTGATTTTCAAGAAAAGATGGTTGTAATTTGAGAGACAAACAACAGAGTTGTTTTTTAGAAGGTGGTTAAAATTTTTGCAAATTGAATAATTAAACCGTGAAATGTTTTTTTTGTACATGGACTTTTAGGTTACAATAAAGGGTAAAAAGATAATTAGTAATCATCATCTAACAAGGAGTTTCAAATAAGTAATGAAAGACTAACTTATGAAATAACTTATTTAAGCGTATAAATGCTTATTCTCTCATCCAAACACTAAAAATAACTTATTTATGGTGTCAAATAAATAATCCCAAACACCCTAGTATGTTAAATTCTTGATATAGTGGGTGGGGTCAGATTCATTATAATTTAAGCTGGGTATTGCGTATAAGGTGTTCATACATTAAAGTTACGTAAATCCGCCAAACCAAGTTCATTGAGATTCAGTAGATATTGCGTATAAGGTGTTCATATGTTTATACATTTAAAGTTACCTAAATGTACCCTACCCAAATTTATTAAGATTGAGTAGGCATTGGTCTACATCAATCAGCAAAAGACATAAGCTGGTCAATTGCCTCAATAATCCGTAAAAGGTATTCAATAATTTCTTTGGTTTTTAATTTAATAAACAGTAAATTACAGAAATGTTCTATATGGCTTCGTCTACATTGTAGGTTTATCCAACCTTTAAAAGTTAATACATCTTAGACCAATATAATCTTTTCGTCTTATTTCGTTATAAAAAAAATCGTTAAATCACCACTCTCGTTCCTCCCACATGATCATCGTATCCGACACATCTCCGATGACCATCATTGAAAAAATAAGCATGCTTTATTGCTCTTTGTATACAGATAGATCATGACTACATGTATAGAATTTTCTTCGGCTTATGCAATGCTAGAAAATGGTTTCAATAAGGATATTGAGGCAATTGGAGAAGGCTAAATATTACAGAATTCAGATCTCTAGAAGTTCTAAATATGGTACAAATTTCCCAGTTATAAAGAATTGATTTACCTAATTTGATTGAATTATGTGATTTTTTCACGAAAAGATCCTATCACCCCTAAAATCGAAATCTGATATAACAGAGCCCTGGAACAGTATTCGAAAACAAAAAATGGACTGAGAATTAGTAGGAAAAATCATTTATGATGTCTTTCAATTTACGATTTGCAAAAACCAGCTCAAAGATTTACCAGTCAAACCAACAGGATGACCTAATTGCTCAATGCCACAAGTTGACTTGATTATGGTATCCACACATGTAAAATTACAGCATACTGTAAAGTAGATCAATCAAATATCTTTGTAGACGCTCGTCGATTCATGAACCCGAATTCTAACCGAGAAAGCATCCACCTTCTGATGACTACCGTTGTCGATGGAGATTACGGGGTAGGAATAACGGTGGAAGGGACATGGAGGTGATTGTGGCTGGCAGTGATGGCACTGCTACGACAAGGAGGTGGAGGTGAATGGGTTAGCCGAAGAGGGGCAGAGCCATTCGGTGAACCATAAATCCAACTTGTGAATCTTGTCGGAGGAGCCTGGCAGTGATGGACGAGAAAAGGCGGAAAAGAACGGTTGGGTGGAGGTGGCGGTCGTGGTGGGAGGTAGGTGAGACAAGGTTGGAGTTGTTGGAGGAGATGGAGGCGCGGTTGTAGCCTAGGTGGTGGCCGATGATGGTTTCCTATAGTGGATCAAGCGATAAGTTCCTGCCGGTGATAGAGGCCGCAACAATGGTAGAGGTAGAGCACTTGTAGGAGGCGGTAACGGTGGCTAGCGATGGTTGTGTCGTCGGATGCTCTGGATATAAGGATTTGGGGAGGACCGGAGGAGGGGTTGTTAGTATTAATGTTAACTAGGGTTTGGACCGTCCGCGCACCGCGGAAGTCCAGCGCGATGTTGCGGAAGCCCAGTATGTTAAAAAACGCAGCTTGAAACCATATATACAACGGAGAGGATTAAACCTTATAAAGTGGACCACAAAAATATCAAAATAAAATTTAGATACAAACAGTTATATACCGAGGATGCGGAAGAAAATAAGACTTGAAATTATATCCTAAAGAAATTATTAAAAATTATGTAAGGGGCTAAAAATATAACTTTAAAATATAGTAAGAGACAAAATCATAACGTATAAATACAAATAATTTAATATTAAAATTATAAGCGTGAAAACTATTAAATTAAAATTAATTAACGGGAAAAAATGTAAATATAAAAATCTTCCATGACTTAAACCTAAATGACTATTTCTAAAAATATTGTACATTTTATATTACGTGCTTGACAATATATAACATGATTTGGTTTTAATAAATTTGGATTTGGAAATAAAAAGTCCATGATTTGGTTTTAATAAATTTGGATTTGGAAATAAAAAATCCAAACGACTCTCTTTACCACATGATTTACGTATATTCATAACCAACGGCTTACATTATAAATGATTTACAATGAGCCATAAAAGTATAAAATAAAGTTTTGATAGAAACAATTATATACGGAGAAAACATGCAAAAATATCACAATTTAATTAAGAAATCATAATAATAATAAATAATAGTAATATAAGTGATCAAAAATATAAGTTTAAAATATAAGAAAGGACTAAAACTGTAACTTATAAAATATTAATAACTTAATTTTAAAATTATAAAGGTTGAAAATTGTTAAATTAAAATTATTTGAGGGCAAGAAAATATAAATATAAAAATTTTCTATTACCAGAACCAAAATCTCGAATTTTCAGATAGTGCCTTCTTATATATTATATATTCAATGCTTTAAATAATATACCTTAGTCTTCTTTTAATTGGGTTTGTTCTGGAAAATATCAATAGCAAATGAACTATCCTCTACACTCAAAGCACCAATATTGCAATTTAATAAATAATAATAAACTAGATGGGAACCCCCCCGCAAAGCGGGGGTTGGATTCGATACTTATGTTAAATAAAACCAACAGAAGACAGTTACCGGTTTTGTGTGAAATATAGTACATTGCCTAAATTGTAGACATAGTAAAGTATGTTGCTACTCACTTCAATTCGCCAATTTACAAATGCATAATAGTTGAATATGTTGTAATATGTGATTAAAAAATGAATGTACATCGTAGCAATGGAAATTGTATTGTAGTTGATATCTTTCTATAAGTTAATAACTAACATTCAGAAACGATCAATCTCATAATAACAAAAGTAATAAGAATCGAACCAATAACATGATTATGATCTTATGCAACTCACATGTTTTACATGATTACAACCACGATCTGGTAATCACAAATAAACAATAAATATTGAGTCATAACAAATCTGTTTGAAAGAGAGCTTGAAAAAAAGAAAAAAAAAATCTCAACAATGTTTAAACAAATGGCTTTGAAGAGGTACAAAAATAAACGAAAAACAATAACATGTTGTTAAGAATCTGTTTCAATACTCTACTGTTAAAGAGTTTAAATGTCAATATCAACTAATTTTAAATAAAATTGCATAAGTTTGAGAAATCTTAACATCTTCATTTGGTTGGAAAAAAATCTCTCCAAATTCTCAATGTTGTTTTGAATTAGTTAAACGATATTAATCTGCATAATTTTTTTCCATGACTTTCTTAAATATTTAAGATAAGACCAAATGACCATTTTACCCTTACATTCTGAAGAACAAATTTTGACAATATTCTTTAACGTGAGTGGATTGGGAGGAAAAAAGAAGGGCAAATACGTAATTAGTGTCTTAACCAGTTATTTCATTCTGTCTAGGTTAAGTGAAAAAGAAACAGCCATGTAAGAGAAAACCAAAACTGTTGAAAATAAAAATTAACTATAAAACAGTATGCAGGGGCATTTTAGCCCAAAACTGTTAAAATCAAATTTTTTGACTATAAAAATAGTATGGATGGGCAGTTTGGTCCAAAACTGTTAAAATCAAATTTTCTTCACGATTATAAAATTTGTCAGTGTGGCCCCCATGATTTGCATAACTCGTATAAAACTTTTTACAATTTTCATCCCTGTTAGAGACTTTGGTAACGGTTTTTGCTCCCTGTACCATACTCAATTACTATTTTACCCCTTATGTAATTTTAAAAAAAAATGTAATTACTTAATTGTCATTTCATTTGTTGGGTTTAAAGAAATCATTCATTTTATACATTACATCCACCCAAATTAAATAAAAAATAGATTCAAAGTTCAATTTATATTGTAGGCATGACATTGCTACAAGTTGATAGATTTTTCAAAGTAGAATGTTGTCATAGAAAAAATGAAAGTAGACATAAAATGTTTTTTTTTAGGAAAAATGAAAATTATCTTCTGACCTCTCCTAATACTACATGTTTCTTTTACCCTTTGTTAGAAGAGTAGGATCTTGAACATTCTGTAACAGTGACAAAAAAGAATTAAATAGAAAGAAGTTGTAAGATAGAAAGCTTTTAACCATTTCAATACACAAATTTGTAAATAATCAACAAATTGGGAAGACTGATGGAATCAACACCTGTGTTTCCATTTGGTCCCATCTGCAGGTCAACCACCACCACTTCCGGTGACCTGGTCATCGTCGCTGTTGAGCTTATACAGAAGAAGGAGCAGAAGCCCTAAAATTAAACAAACCCTCTTCATCTTGCTCATTGCTTCCAGGAACCTGAATTTTGTTATTTCTAAGGTTAGCAACAATAGTATGACCAGAGGAGTTGGCATGAGGAAGAAGCTTCCTTTTCTTGTTGTAGTTCCAGAAGTTTTTGATTGCACTATCTGTTCTTCCTGGTAAGTGTTTCGCTATCTGTGCGTATCTTTTTTAAAACAAATAACAAAAGGAATCAATATCTTCAAAACAATTAATCAAAAGATAAGTAAACAGTTTATCTTGTTAATTACTTATTTCCCAAGGTTCTGTGTAGATCAATTATGAGCATGGCTTCTTGTGAAGTAAAGTTTCCTCATTTAAGACCGGGTCTTAGATAATCAATCCATCTTAGAAAATGATATGATCATGTCTGTTCTTCATCAACCTTCTGCTTTAAATATCCATGCACGGTGTGAACGATATCTAGTAGAAAATGATCACCCCTATAGATTGATATAAAAGATAGTCAAACAGGAAATGTTTTCATACATTCCCAATGGTACTGACCTACAACAAAACAGAATCGACATGATAAGTTTCTTCTTTTCAGTTAAACTTAAATCATGAAAACTCCATTAGCCTACACAAATGTATAATGTTTTTATTGTATAATATGATCAAGTCTGCAAAAAAAAAAAAAATTATGTCCGTATGATCTGACCACAATTCTATCAGTACGATATCCGTTGATCCTAGTTTCCCTGAGAAGATCTAAAGCCAACTTTAGTGAAGCTAATCCATTCAGAGTGCGTATGGCAGATTTGATGTCTGGATTCAAGATAATTTAAACTTATTAAATATGTTAAAAAAAGGGAACTCTTTCATCCATGACACATTTGTAAGAAAAATGTAATAATTATGTAACTAACGAAACCCAAATGCAGTAAGTAGTATTAAATATCTGTTAGGGCTACGTTTCTACATTTCCAAGTAAATTCTTTATGGAAAAAGTTGTAATTCCATTCAATCAATAAACAAAAAGTAAAATTTTACTATAAACAATGCTTACTTTTCAAATAAAAATTACATCTTCATTGCCAAATAGGGAATCTTAAACAACCAACCTCCTAATAGAATCCAAATCACAACTTAGATCAATGGATTTACCTTCGCATCCCTGCAAGTGCCGGTACAACTTAAGTAGCAGTTAATGAGCCAAAAATTAACAAAACCTCTTGCTTAGAAATAAGGGAATTAGCCTAATATGTAAAAAAAAAAAAAAAAACTAAATTTGAATTTGACGGGTACTTGAACCATTATTGTTCTTGATGTACATTTCTAATCTTCTCCAATCTAAGAATCCGTGTAGTTGATTCTAAACATCAAGTCAGGTTGTCCCCTTTATGGTCATATAAATGGAAGAGTTGGTAAGTAAAACTACAATAAATGAACAAATAAACATTCAAATCCTCTTTTATTAAAAAATTAACATAGTCACTTGAAATCCAACCACCAGTTGAGATGCATCTATTCACACATTCAACTGCATTAATTGTGAGGTCCACAAAATTGCATCATCTTTAATTTATAAAGAAGACTATTCTTAACAGACAACCTATTTTTGAATGTTCCTAAAAATAAAAAAATGCATATAACAAAACAAAATTTCATTGGGGCATTTCATCAAATGGCTATTATGCATGTAAAATATAAAGGTACTGAGAAAATAACTCTTATAGTGATAAACTAAAAATGGATTTCAATACTACGTGGATTCAATATATGGTTTTCCAAAAAAAAATTATGACAAAATTTAAGAAAAGAGTCAAATGCCCTTAAAGACTAAGGTGTCTAACATGTGAGTGGCAAAGAAACAATGAACCACACATGCATCTGGGAACTTATTTTCTCTTTTACTTTGGATTATTTCCTACTTCTTTACATGAGACAAGATTTGGAGGTTGAGCAAAAAGAACCATATCAGTAAGTACCTACCTGTACATGGAACCATTTTACTATAAATAGAGTATTTCTTTCCAATCGTATTCAAACAGGGAAGGGGATATGGCCAAGAAATAATTAATCTTCAAAGGAAAAGTAAAACCGTTGACAGTTGATTCCTTAAAAATGACAACACCCTCTCTTCTAGTTCCAAATTGTTGAACAAACGAAACAGAGCTTTGGGAAATTAAACAACAAAAGATGATAATTTAAGTTTTAATTTAGAAAAAATGAAACCCAGAAAAAACACAAACCTTTTTATTCTTCGTTTGGTATTACTCTGTCTTGTGCTAGGAAGACGTTCATCTCTTTGAGGTATATTTTTTCAGACGCCTTTGATCCCTAATTGTCGAACATAAGCAAGGTATCAATTCATGGAAACAAAAAAAAAAAAAAAAAAAAATAGATTGTATGATATGCCGATGTAGATGCTTAAAAACGGAGTGAGGTGTGGCCAAACCATAGAACTTACCATTGCTGAAACTGTAGTGATCAGCTGACAGGAGGTGATGGTGAGACATGTTGGTCACCATTGCTGAAACTGCTTAGTTCGTTCCTCTTCTCCAGTTGAAGAAAACACCGTCAGGAAACAAAAGAAGTGGAGGAAAAAAACAAAAGCAGCTGGTGGATTGCAGCTTCGTGCGTAAAGAAGCTTGGAAGAAGGGGGCGGCGACCCCAAATCGACATCGACAAACGAAAACATAAAAAAGTTGAAGAAAATGAACCTGTAACTGCAGGGTGCGAAGGTGACCGGTCCAAGGCTTCACATAGGACTCGACGGCATACGACGGAGAGCGGTGGAGGAATCGCTTACCCGGGTTCCTCTTGAAAAGCCCTAAAAAAAAACGTATCAACCGGATGACTCATGGTAGAAGAAAGAAGCTTGTCTAGTAAGCTGATGAAAGCGGTGGTGGAGATTTAGACCGGTGGTGGGTGCAGAGAAAAGCGAAGTAGCTTGTCGATGAATGAGAACCGCAAAATAGATATTTCAGAGAAGAGTTTGGAAGGATCTGGAGACGGTCACCATAGAGAATATACAATACGGCAAAAAATGATCCGTTATAAAAATTAAGCCTTAAATTCCACTCATACCCATAAATAGGGACTATTTTTGCCAACATGTTAGGAATTTCACTATTCCTAAGGAACAATTTCCATAATATATATATAATAATAATAGTATTATTTTCCCTTGTCGCGGCGAAGAACATATTGCAATTTAATAAATAATAATAAATAATAGTATTATTTTACTTTGCCGCGGCAAGAACATATTTTCAAAGTGAACGATAAAAGTATAAAATAAAATTTCAATAGAAATAAGAACACTTATTTAGCCCATTATAAGATATGTATGTTTTGCTTTGGTATTGTATTTATGATCGGATAATGAATCAATTGCCGACACTTATTTATTGTTTCTTGTTGTGTTTGCCTTGCATGAGTACAAGTAATATATGAGATTTCTTATGAGGTTGGAATATTTAGGATAGTTCTATCTTTTAGTTTAATTATATGATACTATATTCGACATGTTTTGATTATTACTTTTGGAGACATTCAGTTTCACTATGTCTTTTGAATTTATAAATCATGTTTTGACATTTTTATCAAGTTTTGGAAGTTTTTCAAGAAGGTGAAGTAGTGGTTTTTAAATGGTTGTTTTTGCATAAAAGTAAATAAAATCTTACGTTAATGTATTTTGTTAAAAATAAAAAAATAAAAATTTTAAGTAAAAATCACAACGTTACACTTTTTAGTGTTGTCGTGTTTTAAGCATGAATTAATTAAATTATTGGATATTTTATGTATTTTTGTCATTTTGTCATGCTTTCTCATTTTTAGTTAGGCTATGTTCAAGTTACCAAACAACAATACATTGTGTCGTGTTCTGTTCGGGCTAGGGACAAATACTTGTGTTATGGTGTGTTCGGATTATAGACATATGCTTGTGCCATGTCATTTTAGATAAAAACACAAAATTACTAATCAATTTTACACCCCCAATTCTCATATGTATAATTGAAGTTCAACACTGATGTCTGGGAAATAAAGATTGACACAAGAAAATAGATAGTACTTTATACCCTTGGAGTTTCAAAGTTTATATTGACGACATAATTTCTGAACAAAAAGACCATTATTTTTAGTTTCCAGACATACAACTCAACTGGAATGCTCTAATGATAGGCTTCAACCACTCGGTTATCTTAATGGTACCGAAGAGTATTGTTCTATATACAAAAACCATACCAAGCAAAATTACAAGATCAATCCACTTGGAATAACCCATCTCAATTTGTAGTATATCCTTCAATATCATCTCAGCATCCATGGTTGGAGGACCTCCTAAGTACTCTGGGAACTTAAGTCCTTCAAACTCATTTTTATACAATCCTTGTAATGCATACCTATGGAATGAAATATAGTACATGGGATACCTCCAAAATACATTAGGTAGATCATTTGGCAACTGAAAAAATCCTGCACTTAGTATCATTAAGCCTTGGGTTCCCGCACCAGATATAATTCCCATTAGCAAATTTGGCACAATGGTAGCTACAATTATCATAAGGCATTCAACGAGTATCATTGATGTGAAGAGGACTAATGCAAAATAGATGAATTTTTCAGGTTCTCTCTGAAGTCCTACAAGAGAGTAAGCAATGACTCCTGGAATTAAAGATATGAGAAGTAGGTATGGCACTGAAGACATGGCATGGCTAATTACAAATGATCCAACCCCATAATGCCCATTCAACCTTTCCCATTGAAAGACCTACATAGTTATAACATATATAGTTGTTAGAAAATGTAATTACTTAAAAAATGATTTAGAAACACATGAAGTTAAAAAATAAACCTTCATTTCCTCCACAAACGAAGGGAAACCACCAATTGCCAAAATGGTGAGGAAGCAAGAAACAAACATAAGCATCGATATCCTAGCCTGTGTCATTTTGGACCAAAACAATGAGTTCATATGTTTAACTATAAATGGTTTCTAATAAATTTTGGAAATAACTTTTGGCAGACATAATTATTTACGCATATTAAATTTGTGTTATGTAATTCCTTTTCAAAATCGACAACAATAACCTTTATTGACACAACACAAAAATGTGCAACCACCATTTTGCTATCCTATTGCGTTACCATATTTTTTTGTTAAAATAACATCTTCCTAGCAAGAACCAAATGTTTCCAACATTTAAACATCGAGCACGTCAGACCTTTTGTTTTAAACAAACAACCAAATATTATTATGTGGGTTATTATTTGCTTCACAAAAGATGGGTCTTTCGTATAAGAAATATGCTAAAATATCCACACTTTTAAACTTGTTATACATTCCAATATAAAACTTACGTGTAAAGAGCCAAATCCATAACCAATATTGTTGAAGACCGTTCCAACTGCAAAACCCAGAGCAATATATATACCAAGTCGCAACCAATAGTATCCAATGTCACGATACATGTTTATAAATGATCTTTCTACAAGCACCAGACATTGTGTAATGGAACTAGCTTGCATGCTTCCTTTTTTCACAAATGGGTCTCCATCCTTGAAAATTACATTTTTTTCATTACCTCCTACTATATTTAATATGCACTTTAGTCATACCAAAATCACAACAAGTAATATGTACCTGTCGACATATAACAGAGATTTCGTGTTGGACTTCCATATATATCTCAGATGATTTGTATGATTCGGAAAGTAGTTCGATTACTTTCTCATCACGAGCCTTTCCACTAACAAGCTCCTATCAAAGGTAAAAAGAAAAGACATAAGTAATATCTATTAAGGGTGAACATGGTACAATATCAACTTTTTTTTCTCCAATCGGTACAAAAATATAGTCGATATCATACCAAGAGTACTTGGTGCCAACTTACTTGATAAACAACTATTTTCTTGTAATAAATTGGTAATTATTTATACCAAAAACATAAAATAATTTTTTTTTTGATGAAATAGTTTAACATAATATAAGTTTTTTAATTGATCCATTTAGCCATTTGTCTTAAAATTGTAAACACACTTGAAATATAAATATATATATATATATATATATATATATATATATATATATATATATATATTAGCTTCAACTATACATAATAAATAAAGAAGCATTTTACTACATCTCAATCTCTAATAAATTTTGACATTTGTTATTTTTTGATATTTTTGAAATTAATAGTATCCACATGTCAATTTCTAAGGGTTTTTTTTTTTTTTTTTTTTTTTTTTTTTTTTTTTTTTAATTTTAAAATATAAAAGCTACATAATACATATAGTTATATAAGTATTAAATGTAATAAATATGATAATAAATTGCAATAACTATGTTTTTCCTTAACTATTTTAAAATTTAATTTTAAAAATACTTAATGTTTAGATTTTGATATTTAATTTTTTTATTTAACTCATGTAATATATGAGCCTTACTCCGATTATATATATATATATATATATATATATATATATATATATATATATATATATATATATATATATATATATATATATAAAGTATTCAAAATAGCATTATTATACCATGAAGACTCAAGTAAAACAATACCAACGGTCAAACATTTTGACTACCAAAGATATTTTGGTGTTTATGTTGGTAACATCTTGAATGGATTCATGTGTTAGAAAGTTGACAGACGTATCTAACTCCACCACCAAAGGGGTGTTAGTTGGCTGGTTTGGAATTATGAGCATCTCCAATGTTGGACCTCTTGCTATGTCATCATTTGTCAATATTTAAGGTCATTAATACGTAAACCTATCTATTTTATAAACATATCTTCATTTTTCTATATATGCTTAACAAGTCTATAAATGATCCCCCTAACTTTTCTTATTTATTCCACGGTGAATCATAAAACAAAAGCAAAAGATTTTTATTTTTTGTAAAGGCAACATGAATTTTTTTTCATTAAAATTTAGTAAATATTTTATATCGATGATGAATTTGTTCTAGTAGTTTTTATCTTGAATATGGGACTTGATTTGAACATCAACGATATTTCTTTAATGGTATGATTTATTTTATATTTTCTTATATATTTTTAATAAATTAAGTTAATATATTAAACTTCATAGGATAAAAAATGAAAACATAAAGAAAGAAGTGTGCATAATAACCTTTAACAACAAGATTAAGGAGATATAATGAAAATTAAAATCAATTCATCCGATTTTATGGGGCCTCCCGTAGTTTTTGAAGCGGGCCATGAATTTGGACCGCATTAAAACCACCCAAATTGCAACCAAATCCACTGTACAATACCATTTCGTGGACCGCTTTATATTCATTCAAACCACAATTAGCATGTGGATGCTCTAAGAGTCCCAAAAAAAGGTTTTACTTAATATCGAGGAGTAATTTTATGGTGCAAGAAAAAAGAGATTATAAAAAAAAAAAGATACCAAACTGAATCCTAGCTACAACTATGAACAACGAGTTGAAGAATCCAAAGAAACTGTAATCTATAAAATCATGCAGATCTTATATTGGAAAATGATCCAGGAATACCAATATTAGATATTCTAGTGATGTTATCACTCATTTATTTCGAAGATAAAACAATGATGACATATATACCTCATCAAAGTCAGTGTTGATGGTTATGAGGTAGTGTTCTGCGGGACTTTGTAAAGAGGGACATGGAAAACCATTTACTACAAAAAACTGATCATCAAAACAACAAAAGTAGTCAGCTTCATGAATTTATCATGTCTAATTGTAACAATAGTTGTGATGGGCATAAGAAGAAGATAAAACCTGATTTGCTGCGAGAGTAGGACCAAAGTATATTGTTTTCCCCGAAGAGAGAAGACAAAGATTATCAAAAAGCCCGAAAACTTGACTACTAGGTTGATGAATAGCGGCCAAAACCGTCATATTATATTGTCGAGTTAATTTGGCAATCTGCTTCATGACATGGTATGATGCTGCACTATCAAGACCACTAGTAGGCTCATCAAGCAACAGAAACTTGGGGTGTGTTAAGAGTTGTATGCAGATGCTTAGACGCTGCTTTTGGCCACCACTAAGACCTTTGGTTCCCCATCCTCCTATTTTTGTGTTCAAAGCATCTTGAAGTCCCATCTCCCTTATAATTGTATCAGCTCTCTCCCTCTTTTCTGATTTTGACATCAACTTAGGCAGCTGAAGTTCAGCTGAGTAGTAGACCGTTTCTTTAACGGTTAGAGTCCATGTTAACGCTTGCTCTTGAGTCATGTACGCCTACACAAATTTAGGGTCATGTGCACGTAAATGTATACAAAAATCAAGAAATCGTACGTGGTACGTAGCCCATGAACTTCAGTAAAAAGGGTCAGCATCTTGAAGAAAAAAATGCAAAAGTTTGTTTGTGCTTCGTTTTCTTTTTTGAAAAAAGGATCCAAGTAAATCAGTATAAAGGATTGCGCTCATACCATAGTACCATATGTAGGCCTTGTTTTACGACCATTGATTAGAACTCGTCCAGTGTGTCTTGCGTTTGAAGCCAACCGACCTGTGTTTAAACAACAAGGAATACCCACAAAGATCATTGTATATTAAATGAATCGACCTATCTGATTATTTCTGCTCCGTACGATGGATGTTTAGTCTACAACAAAACTCGGATATATATTTATATCATGCTAAGATCCAAAACACTTGCACAGAAAAAAATATATAACATGCATAAATTTTGTTTTTTTTTTTCCGTTCTAAAAAAATGGTTGTATTTTAATTTTTTTTAACACAAAAAGGTTAATGCTCTTGAAACTTGCAAGGGTAAAACGGAGAATTATATACCAGCCAAAGCATCAAGTAGAGTGGACTTGCCACAACCAGAAGGGCCCATAATCGCTAGAATTTCTCCTGGTTTAGCGTAACCAGTGGCACCGGTAAGTATAACTTTTCGTCCATCTTTGTCGATACTTCCATAAGAGTTTGAAACAGCCACTCCAAGATTCTCCCATGTCAAATAGGCTCCACCCCCTCCTTTCTTCACCACAGTACTGGCCTTAGACTCCTGGATTTCGATTCCCCACTCTCCTTCTTCATCTGGTTCTGGACGTATACCGTTGTTATGAATCAAGCTACCCATTTAATATCAAAGATGAAAATAGAAAGAGATCTACAAAGAGGGAGAGTTTCGAGTAGTTGCACATGAAGTGAAAAGTGGATGGCTAAATATATAATAAATCACAGGAAGTCCTTTGTTAAGACAATAAATGACAGTTCTCTAGATATTTTTTCTATTAATTAATTCTTCTGTTTTCAGTTCCCGTGACTCACAAGAGAGAGAGAGAGAGAGAGAGAGAGAGAGAGAGAGAGAGAGAGAGAGAGAGAGAGAGAGAGAGAGAGAGAGAGAGAGAGTATGATTTGCGTATATATCTGTTCTAAAAAATGCTTCTATGATCTATGTATTTGATCTAAAAAAATGTGTAAAAGCCACAATCCCAGCTAGAGAGCTTTGATTTCTTCTTTCCTTGGGGTTCCTTCCCTCACTTGTTACTAGAGCAGGGGAAATGATATAAATGTCTTAAAAAGTTTTTAGTATGGGTCTATTTAGTCTCTATGGCTCTATTTAGTCTCTTAAGTCTTTTTGTTGTTTTATGAGGGAATAAAATTGTTTTGTCAAGTTTATTAGGTCCTTTTGGAAGTTTGAAATGGGTAAACCGGTTACCCGTTATGTTAGCTTATATATTGTGCTCCACATGTATTCTCTATGTTGGTTGGTGTTCCATTCAGTTGTCTACCAAAAGAATTAGGACAATCGAATTATGCTCTTATATTTGTGACTGAAATACCGAGGATCATAAACAAGATGTGAATAACCATGCAAACTTACGTGACACCATCGTTCTCGTTTATTATCTCGCACTAATGTATCGTTTAATCACACACGTTTCATTAACAATCATAAACTCGAGTTGTCTCATCCTTTTCACTTTATATAACCAAATTAGTATATCAATTAGCCACATACGTTTCACTAACGACTCATAAAGAAATGATGTGTATTTTCATGTATTAGCATACAAGTTCACATTTTTTCTAAGTAACTAGATTGAGATATTATAAATGTTCTGGTTTTTTGTGTTATACTTTTAACGTGATTAATGTTACGTCAGAACACTTTCGGATAATGACAATTCACCACACAAAGAACCAGTGTGTGAAAAAGACACCTTTTAAGAATACAATGCTTAAATTTAATTATCTTATTAACCTTTAATTAATTAATATTTAAACTTTTTAAGGTTTAGTAATTATTCTTAAATTAAAATTTGGATTCAATATATTAAATCTTTTAAGAATTAAACAATTATCTTAATTAAATAGTTAATTAAATAATAGTAATTCAAAACCCTAATTTTTCAAATTCAAAGAAGAATAATCACCTAGATTAATTATTATGATTTTAAGCAATTAAAATAACAAACATTAACTAGTAATTATCCTACAATTCGAAAGAAGTAAGCAAAACCTAAAACTCTACCTGTTAATTTCTTGACTGACCCGACAGAAGGAAGTGATGGGTTTTAGGTAAAACAAATAAACTAGAAAACAATTCCTAAGTTCACATGCAACCTACTTTGGATCTATGTTTTATCTATTGAACATACAACTTTGAATTGCAAAACAAGAACCCTAGAGGAGAGAGGCTATAATCGAAATTTACAAACTAGGGTTTAGTAATTACATACCTTTCAATTGTTATAGTAAACAATTGATGATTCCCTTGATCTTGATCTTGATCTTCTTGGAAGCTTAGCACTACAAGTGTAATGCCTCTAATGGAATCACACCCAAACTAGAAAGAAGGAAATTAGAGGAGAGAGGGAAGAGGGAGTATGCAAAATTTCGGCCCTTAGGGTTTCTTCAAAAGAAAAGAGTGACCAAAACATGAACCAGGAGGCTCCTTATATAGCTGAGGGATCTAGGGTTTAGGGGAAACCCTAGTTATCCTTTGCTTAGGGCCTAAGCAAACCCAAGGGCCTTATCCAAGCCCTATGGACGAAATTATTAGGGTTTCCCCTAAAGATTTCGTCCACCCTTATCCAAGGGGGTTCTAGAGCCTTCCACTCAACTATTAGATAATTGCAAACTAGTCCCTGCACCTTATAATTAATTCTTTTAACCCCGAAATTAATTCTAATTAATTTCTGGCTAACAATTAATTAAACAAAATAATTTCTTATTAATATATTAATCTTTTAACATATTAATAAATTCATTTATATTAATTTATTAATCTTATAATAAATTAATATCTCTCCTTTCATAATTTCCTTGTCCGGTTGCTAGGTTTGAGGGCAACCCAAAAGGACTGTGCTGCTATCAATTCAAGTACATACCAATTATAGTTATGGGCTTAGACACCTAATCCAACAGTCTCCCACTTGGATAAGTCTGTAACTATAATTGCTAGTATGCCTTCTAAATTTGACCAGCAAATTGTAGCTTCCAAAAAGCTGCTGCCGAACTCTGACCCAGTCAGTTACGTGTCCTAAGATAAGTGATCATATAATCCTTCGTTCTGCTAGATATCCCTAGACAAAAAGACATGGAATGCAATCAACCTCTTTGTCCAGAATCTATGTTTCCCGATTCCTGATTAGTGATGATGTAGGACTTCTAAATGAACACATCAATTTAGTCCTGGCTGGGCCCAGCACATAAGTCAACACCAAATCATCGAGGGGCCCACAGATATCGCTTTTTCCCATTAAGGAAAAAGGAACGAATAAACATTGACTCATATGCTTGTATCTTTTACTCATCAAACCATACATGATAATACGTTTTATAACACCAAGTTACTGATGCGTTTTCGTATTACCAATGCATAGCCGACTTGCAAATTACAACTCATATATCTCTGTTTCAAGATTATAAGATATTATCGTCTCAGTATTACTCGTGATGAATTCCATGAAGTAATACTCTGAGTGAGGGTTTATCCAATACTCAAATCTCAATTTCTGAGTACTCATGAACGTTGCAGCAAAATCTATTGCCATGTCTATCCTTAGACAATCTACAATCCAGTTCATGACAGTCTTGATTCACTACTTACTTCCAAAAGTACGAGCGACTGTGGAGTTTGAATAATCTTATTATTCGGGAAGTAAAACATGCAAAAATGAAACACAATAATAAACAATTGACAAAAGGTAGAACCCAAACTTATAAATAATACTTTATTATTTAATCACCAAAAGTCAATTACATTTACTTTGTTACAAGTTTCAGAACAAAACTAATCTAACTACTAAAACTAATATCATCTTTCAGTCCTATGCTCCGAGCATGCTGAATATGCTTGGCCCTACTCAGACCCTTTGTTAGGGGATCTGCTGGGTTATCTTCAGATGACACCCTCTTCACTATAAGATGACCTTCTTCTACTTTATGTCTGATGAAATGGTACTTTCTGTCGATATGTCTGGTTTTACCATGATCTCTCGGTTCCTTTGTCAAGGCAACCGCTCCTTCATTATCGCAGAACAGTTCCATAGGCTCCTGGATGGTTGGAACAACTCCGAGATCCCCGATGAAGTTCCTCAACCAAGCTGCTTCTTTCGACGCTTCACTTGCTGCTATGTACTCTGATTCACAAGTAGAATCAGCCACCGTATCTTGCTTCGAACTCTTCTAAGTAACTGCTCCTCCATTTAATAAGAATACCCAGCCTGACTGAGAACGGAAGTTATCTCTATCCGTCTGAAAGCTGGCATCACTGTAACCATCTACTCTCAAAGTATCATTGCCACCAAGTACAAGGACCCAGTCATTCGTTCTTCGCAAATACTTGAGTATATTCTTCACGGCTATCCAATGAGCTCTACCTGGGTTTCCCTGATACCGAATGACCATGCTCAAAGCAAATGCCACATCAGGGCGAGTACATGTCATAGCGTACATGATCGATCTGACAGCGGAAGCATAAGGTATACGACTCATGTCATCTATTTCCTCATCTGTACTCGGGCACTGAGTCTTACTCAATTTGGTATTGCTCTGGATAGGTAGCTCTCCCTTCTTGGAATTTTCCATACTAAACCTCTTTAGTACCTTATCCAAGTATGTGCTCTGACTAAGTCCAATTAGTCTCTTCTTTCTATCTCTCAATATTCTAATCCCAAGAATATAGGCGGCTTCTCCTAGGTCTTTCATGGCAAAACACTTTCCAAGCCAAGACTTAACTTCATTCAAGGTTGGAACGTCGTTACCAATGAGTAATATGTCATCGACATATAACACCAGAAAAGTTACTATACTCCCACTAGCCTTGATATACACACAAAACTCATCTTCACTTCTAGAGAAACCAAACTCTTTGACTTTCTCATGGAAGCAAAGATTCCAGCTGCGAGATGCTTGTTTCAATCCATAAATGGATTTCTCAAGCTTGCATACTCTATTGGGAAACTTTGCATCAACAAAACCCTCTGGCTGACTCATGTAAAAATCCTCAGCCAACTTCCCGTTAAGGAAGGCAGTCTTGACATCCATCTGCCAGATTTCATAGTCATGAAAGGCAGCTATGGCGAGCAATATCCTAATAGATTTAATCTTAGCCACCGGCGAAAAAGTCTCATCATAGTCAACCCCTGGGGTTTGAGTGAAACCTTTTGCAACCAGTCGAGCCTTGAACGTATGCACATTCCCATCCATGTCTGTCTTCTTCTTGAAGATCCATTTGCACCCAACTGTCTTCCGACCTGGTGCACTATCAACCAAATTCCAAACTTGGTTGTCATACATGGACTTAATCTCGCTGTCCATTGCTTCTTTCCACTTGGAAGCCTCTGGGCCTGCCATTGCTTCCTTATAAGTGACTGGTTCATCTAAGTTTACCAGTGTTCTGTCACTTATGAATGTGTCACCATCTGAAGTAATATGAAAACCATACAACTCAGGTGGCACACTCACCCTAGTGGATCTTCGAAGTGGTAATGATTTATCAACCGGTTCAACAGGAACTGTTTCCTCTGGTTGAGTGCTAGTGTCATCTAAGGTTCCTTCATTGGTTGACTTTTGAATCTCTTCAAGGTCAATGGTACTCCCACTGTCCTCTTTGAATATGAGCTCTCTTTCCAGAAAGACTCATCTTCAAGCTACAAACACCACGTTTTCACTAGGTCTGTAGAACAAATATCCAAAAGACTGCTTTAGATAACCAATGAAAACACATTTCTCACTTCTAGCTGCTAGCTTGTCGTGAGTCTCTCGTCTTACGAAAGCTTCACAACCCCAGACTTTAATATGTGCTAACGAGGGAACTTTCCCTAT